TTATCAAGTGATCCATGCCCTGCTGCCCACTCCCAGCCTCTGGCTAGTAGCCATTGATAGACATGTCCTCCATGAACTTATTGATGATGTTGTATGGGTATGAAGCAGCACAATAATTACCGGTATTTGTCTCTTGGTTTTTTGAATTGTGCGCTTTGGTTTTAATTTTGGTAATAATTTTGCTGCAGCTGATGAATTTAAACAAACAATCAGGGAATGTTCCTGGCATCCCTCAGGAAAAGGCTGGTGATTCCGGTGAACATCAGAAAACCATAAAGGGAAATGGGATGGCATCTGGCACATGAATTCTTCTAGCCTTTGATCAAGTGGTAGAATTAAGTAGGCTAAAATGATGCTTTTTTTCTGATACTTGTATAATTTTGTCCCTATATGCACCTTAGCAGCTAAGCAATAGAAAAAGCAAATGAATACTATAAGTAACAACGGGGGAGGGGGGAGGGACAAAAATGATGAATGAGTGGTATTGCCTACCTGACACCAAGTTGTGAATTGGTAAATTAATGAAGAAAATGATGAAACCAGGCAAAGAGACACTTGCTGTGGAGCCATGGTGGAAAGACGATGATTTCATTTTCACTGTAACTTGATGAAGACAAAACGAGAGAAAAACAATAAACAGAGTGCACATAATAAAGATTATGTTATAACTAATTACATCTTGTGCTGCATGTAAAGAGCTCATGGGACACTCTGATATGGAGATCCTGATTCAAATGTCCTGTTTATAGCACTGTCATCAACTCCATCTCCTTAGGTGCATTAATCCCAGATTTAGGTTTAGAGTCCCTGGAGCGGCAGGACCCGATTTGGTTTCCCACCTCCGAGGTGGGGGCCCTAATCATTGGGCTACAGAATCATTTTTCTATGGCCCAATGATTATTTATTTAATCGGAAGTGGGACAGCTTCACTAGCTGAGGTTGAGGGAGCCCAACGTCAGCCCAGCTGAGTGCTCAAACCACTGGGCTAAAAGTTATAAGACGGACTCCTCCTCCGGCCATTTTGTGTGGAATGAGGCAGGCGCCTAATGCATTCTTCAGAAGAACTGACGTAGGCACGTACAACACACGACTCCAGGAGAAGAGTTCCCAGTCATGGAGTTTAAGCAGAGACAGGCAACTCCCTGCAGCCCAGTGCAGCCAATGATTTTAGTTTATTATCCATTTATTGTGTCATGCTATGATTAATCAACATGTCATATTATATATATTCATTAAATAGAGTTAATTTGTAGGATTATAGAAGTATAAAATTGATCAGTATTTAGAGGGAATCATGTATTAGATACAAGTAAGACAAACTGAAATGCAAGAACCTGTAGGCTGAGGCCTGCAAGATTTTATCTTAGGTATTTTAGGCCTTGGAGATAAGAAATGCTAACATAAATAAATGACCAAGGAATAACCCGATGCCCTAAGATTATGGGAAAAGAGGTACCAAGTGGTAATAGCCGGAAGATTAATTTTAAATTATAAAAATGCTATAAAAGCACATCTCTGTCTCCAACATGTGTCTTTACCACAGGATACAGGTGATGCATCAATGCTAATGCGAATAAAGAGAACCTAAAGCACCTATAGACTTCGGGGTCCTTTGTGTTTCTATTGGACACAGACCAATAAGGAAAAGAGGGTTGACACTTCCATGTATATGTGCAGAATGTAGGTATAGACAGAATCACATTCTAAAAAAGGGTGCCCAGGGTGGGAAAATTGAGCTTCCTATGGGAATCCAGCAGGGACTATCCCTGTACTGATGATCAATCCATGAGAGAGCCATCAGACTCTAACTCCATCTAGGAGGATGTGAGTGTGATGGGTTGGATCACAAAAACCCCCTTTGGGTCTGCCACCTGACATGCCGAGTCTACCCCAAGCCCAAAGGTTTCCCTGGCAGCTTGGGACTTCAGTGCCCTGTCTGGCTGTGCCAGACCCCAGGTCTGAACCACATTCCCCAAAAGCTGCAGGCTTATCTGAAAATAGTTTAAGAAGTGTTCCCGTCTCCAACACTCAAATGCCCAGTTCCCAATGGGGTCCAAACCCCAAATAAATCAGTTTTACTCTGTATAAAGCTTATACAGGATAAACTCAAATTGTTTGCCCCCTATAACACTGATAGAGATGCACAGCTGTTCCCCCACTCCCCTTAGGTATTAATACATACTCTGGGTTAATTAATAAGTAAAAAGTGATTTTATTAAATACAAAAAGTAGGATTTAAGTGGTTCCAAATAACAACAGACAGAACAAAGTGAATTACCAAGCAAAATAAAATTAAACACTGAAGTCTAAGCCTAATTCAGTAAGAAAATTGAATACAGATAAAGTCTCACCCTCGGAGATGTTTCAATAAGCTTCTATCACAGACTGGACACCTTCCTAGTCTGGGCACAATCCTTTCCCTTGGAACAGTTCTTGTTTCAGCTCAGGTAGTAGCTAGGGGATTTCTCATGATGGCTGCCTCCCTTTGTTCTGTTCCACCCCCTTATATATCTTTTGCACAAGGCTGGAATCAGTGATTTCCCTACCCCCTCCCCCCCAAATTTTCCCAACCCCCCCCCAGTTTTGTGAACTAGTTACATGCCAATTTAGTGACTGTTTGGAAATTTGAATTGAAATTGAAACATTAATACACACTTTAAAAGCATATACAGTGTATGATAAAATACATGTATCTGAAAAAGTATAATAGATTTGAAAACTATGAACCTAGACTAGCTTCCTTATACAGCTGTTGTTTTTTATGACAATGTCAGTGCATTCATTTCGGTGATGTTGGCCAACCTAATAATTTCAAATGATGATTTGTAAGCGAAGTCTAAATGAGCTCTCCCTGACAGCTAGTGATGCGCTGGGGCTGGGGGGAAAGGCTTCAGGACCAGATTGTATTTACAGTCACATCTAATCTACCTACGTATCCAGCAAACAGAGCTGTGTTGCCCAAGTGATAGATTTTTGACTGGGGTTGGGTTACAAATCACTTGAATGCGCGGGGAGGGGGGGGATGAAATGTTGTTGTTCTTATTGTATAAGTAAAGGGCAGTAGAACAGTACTTAGCCTGTGCTGATTGAGGGCATCAAGAGAGAGGGTGGGGACCTGTCCCTCTCCACTATTTAAAGATAGAGCTGATTAGGCTCCATAGATAGTCTTTTGTTTTGTTAAGTGACCACTGCAGCTGAAATCACTGATAATCAGATCTAAGTGCTTAGTCCTGCTGTGGGACAGTGTTTCTGTGGAAGAGACGGCCCAGACTGTACTAGCAGCAAGGTTCCCCCCCGACCCCGAGAGCTCAGCTGAAATCACTGAGAGCTGGGTGGAACCTCAAGAGACCAACTCGCAGAGGTCACAG